CAGTCCACTCACCTGAGCCTCCCAAAGGCGCGGGATTACAGGCTGAGCCACCGAGCCCAGCTAATTATTTAGTATTTTAAAGGTCAATCTTATTTTTTTAGAAGTTCTTTCTTAGGCTGGGCATGGTGGCTCACATCTGTAATCCTAGCACTTTGGGAGGCAGAGAGAGGATTGCTTGAGTCCAGGGGTTCAAGGCCATCCTGGGCAACTTGGTGAGACCTCTTCTCTACAATAAATCAAAAAATTAGCTGGGCGTGGTGGCACACACCTGTAGTTCCAGCTGCTTGGAAGGCTTAAGTGTAAGGATTGCCTGAACCCAGCAGATTGAGGCTGCAGTGGCCATGAGCGTGCCACTGCACTCCAGCCTGGGTGACACCGTGAAACTTTGATTTAAAAAAAGTTATTAATTTGTGCATGAGTACTATAGAAAACTTTTTTTAAAATGGAAAACATATAAACATATATACATAACATATATATCTTTTGAGTAGAGTCTTACTCTGTCATCCAGGCTATATAGTGCAGTGGCAGTATCAGTTCACTGCAGCATCGATCTCCTGACTCAGGCAATTCTTCCACCTCAGCCTCCTGAGCAGGTGGGACTACAGACATGCGTCACCACGCCCAACTAGCTATTTTTTATTTTTGTAGAGGCAGAGTCTCACCACGTTGCTGAACTCCTGGGTTCAAGGAGTCTTCCTGCCTCAGCCTCGCCAAGTGCTGGAATTACAGGCATAAGCCACTGTGCCTGGTGAAATATTTTTAAAATAAAACAAAAAACATCCTAAATTGAAACACCCAAAGGTAATAATTGTTAATATTTTGGTAACTATGCTTCTATAGTCTTCCTTTATGCAAATGTATTTTAATAAATCTTTTTAAAAATAAAAATATTAAGCAAACTGTTTTGTAATCATTTCCCTTAACAATGTCTTTCCATGGGTAATAAATGTAGAATACATTTCCTAGTAACTGTACATTATTTAACTATATATAGCATAACTGACTTAATCCTCTAACATTTGTTGTTTATAATCTTTCAGTGTTATAAACAATATATGATGAACATTAATGATTGTGGCTTTTTGACCACAGAGTCAGTGGTTTCTTTAGCATAAATTGTTAAGAATGGCAGGTTCAGAGAATATATGCTTTTTAAAGAACTTTTGACACGTCAAATTTGCTCTGAAAAGGTTGTCCTAATTTTTACCCTGACTAACCACTTATTAATTCCTATTTTTCTACATGGAAGGCCAGCACTATTTAATCAGCAAGTCTGAAAGTCTGTGTGTCCTAATTTTCTTTTTGACTAGTGAGATTGAGTTTTTCACATTTGTATTATCATTCCTTCTGTTAAGAATGAATTGCTTTTTAACAGTGTGAGATCAATTCTTTCCCTATTTTGTGTGTGTGTGTGTGTGTGTGTTTAAGAGACAAAGTCTCACTGTTGCTGGATTGCAGAGGCACGATCATGGCCTACTGCAACCAAGACCTGGGCTCAAGTGATCTATATACCTCAGCTTCCTGAATAGATGGGACCACAGGCGTAAGCCACTATACCCAGCTAATTTTTTATTTACCCAGCTAATTTTTTTTGTAAATGGAGCTTTAGCCCGTCCAGTTGTGATTTCTTCCCTCTTAACAATATGGTGTGTTTTTTGGGAGACTGTTGGCCCTTCAGTTTTCTTTTCCTCTGTAAATTGTTTTTCTTCAAAGGCCTCTTTTAAAAGTTGTAAAGGTACAATGTATAAAATGCATAACTTTTGCTTACCTCATTTTTCATTCATTCTGGAATATGCTTTTTTTCTCTTTAAAATAATTTCAGGAGCAGACATGATAAGCATACATAATGAGGAAGAAAATGCTTTTATACTGGATACTTTAAAAAAGCAATGGAAAGGCCCAGATGATATCCTACTGGGCATGTTTTATGACACAGATGGTAAGTGATCTTTCTCTTGTGGGATATGACTTTTTAAATTTAATGTGAGGAAAACTGATGGCTTTTAGATTCTTCAGTTCCCTAGTTCATGTTGATGTTTCCTGTGGCCTCCAAGTGTAACATTTTCAGAATGCACCTATGACTTACCGTAGCTTGTTCCTGAGTAGCTCAGCTCAGTGAGTTACAAAGATGAAAGCCACAGTTGATTCTCTTGTCTGGATTAAAATGGCTCGGTATTTTTTATTATTATATGGCATGGTCATAAAATCAGTGTGATTAATAGGCTAAGAATAGACTAAATTATCCAGATTATATTATGTAAATGTACTTATCACCATAGAAAAAGTACATATGTAACATTTTCATATGAAATGAAATTGCTAAGGTTACTACTATTTTACCTGTTTTTCTTTTTTTCCCTCTGAAAGTATTATATGTATTTTTCTTTACAAAAATGGGATCTTTTTCAGAACTCTCTTAAACCAGTACCTTTTGGTGATATGCCTATACACAGGATATATTCCTTCTCCTAATTTTACTCCTACAACCAAAAATTTAGACCAGATATACCTCAGTAACTTGCTACCTTTAATCCTGGACTCTTTTTGGCTTTAACACCTTTTGAAACTGTCATAACACTGAAAAATATTTATTAATTGACAGATGAAAGTTTCAAGTGGTTTGATAATTCAAATATGACATTTGATAAGTGGACAGACCAAGAAGATGGTGAGGACCTAGTTGATACCTGTGCTTTTCTGCACACCAAGACAGGTGAATGGAAAAAAGGAGATTGTGAAGTTTCTTCTGTGGAAGGAGCACTATGTAAAGCAGCTAGTAAGTAATGACTGAAGGTCTTTTTCCATTCTAAGACGGGCAGGGAAAGCTGGGCTGGTTTCCAAATAATTTTGAGATTAACTAAATAGGAGTTAAGACGTCAGAATATATACAGTAGCATGGTTTACTTTCAAGTCTCTTGGAAGTCAAATATGTAATTCTCTTACATTTTGGAGGTAGGGCCAGATCATGTGAACTACACATAATTTTAACCTATCTGCTTATAAAGTTTGCAAGGGGTAAAAAATTTCGTGTTGTTCAAAAGAATCATCTTTGCATGTGATCTGAGTGAACAGAAGTGAAGAGTGCTCATATATAATTCCAGAATTCTCATGTTACTTTACAAGGAATTAAATTGTCCATAAGGAGTAGCCTCTTTTTTTAGGTGCACAAAAAATACACTGAGGTTTATAATTTATTCCAAATTAAAATGTAAGGTTTCTGCTGACCCATCAGAATGCTTGTGTTTTTCTGGTCCCAACCCTGGCCCAACCAATCCATCCCTGCACCTGCCCAGAGCTCCCCGGGAGAAGAGGGATCTGGGAGACAGGAGATAGAGGAGAGAGAGGGAAGACAGATGGGAGAAAGGTTTGGGAGGAACTGGGGATGGGAAGATCTGCTGCTGTGCTTGATACAGAATGCATTTTAATGAACAATTATCTTGCTCAACATTTTGACGTTATTTGTTAAACAATGCACAGTTTGCTCCTCTAAATTTTAGAAAGTATGTTTTCTCATTAAGGAAACTTAAAATTTCAAAACATGACTTTGGGTTACTTGAACATGATAGTCATTTCTTTATTTTACATCCTTAGTATTTTCTCCTTCTACTTCAACTGTAAGCCAAACTACACATCTGGCTCTAATTTTTTTTTTCCATATGAAAGTACATACATTTCTTTACTTGCCACAGCAGGGTACTTGACTACAACTAGCTTATTGTGATTATCTAAACACCTGTCATAGTTCTATGGTAGTAGTATTCAAGTATTTGGTTTTTTAAAAATCGGTTCTTTTCAGGTATTGCACCTCAGGGTGCCATTATATAAACCAAGTTTTTAATTAAAATGACTTCAAGCCATCAGAAATAGTGAATATATCCATTTAAGTGAGATTAAGGTCACAGTTAATTTTACTTTTTATTTTCTGGAGTCTCCAACTAGAATCCTATTATTACCTTCACCTCATTATCTTTTTCTTGTGATCTCTTATTCTTTTCCACCAATCAAATTAATGCATTTCGTCAGTACTCTACATCTTTCTTTAAAAAGTAAGTTCACTCAGCCTGTAATCCCAGCACTTTGGGAGGCCAAGGCGGGTGGATTGCCTGAGCCTGCGGGCTCGAGGCCAGCCCGGACAACTTGGTGAGACCTCGTCTCTACAATAAATACAAAATTAGCCAGGTGTGGTGAGGTGGAAGGATCGCCAGAGTCCAGCGGGTGGATGCTGGGTTGGCCATGAGTGTGCCACTACACTCCAGCCTGGGCGACGGAGTGAGACTTCAACTCAAAAATTTTTTAAAAACTAAGTTCAAAAAGATACAACAGATAAATGATGAAGTACTAGAAATATGGAATTAAGCTACTAATAGATATTAAGCTGCTAATAAAAGTTTTTTAGTGACTGAAAATTTTAACTGAATCCTATAATAAAGCATACTTAAATACTAATTTTTATTTTCTTTTGTATTTTAGTACCATATGATAGGAAATATTTATCAGGTAAGTAATGGTTTGGTGTTTAAACTTTTCCTACAATTAAAAACATATTAGGTTGGGCACAGTAGCTCATGTGTGTTAATTCTAGCACTTCGGGAGTCTGAGGTGAGCAGGTTGCTTGAGACCAGGATTTTGAGCCTGGGCAACAGAGCAAAACCTCGTCTCTATAAAAAATTAAAATACATAAAAATAAAAATTAGGCGTGGTGGTGCATACATGCAGTCCCAGCTGCTCAGGAGGCTGAGGAGGAAGGATTGCCTGAACCTAGTAGATCAAGGCTGCTGTGAGCCATGATCGTGATCATACCACTGTACTCCTTACCTGGGTGAGACCCTGACTCAAAAATAACAAAAAACCTGAAAAAAAAAATGTATATATAAGTGTATATATATATAAAAACTCTGGCATGATAAAATGCTACTACAGATCCCTTTAAAAAAAAATTGTATCTATGTTTACAAGAATGTAAAAAGGTCTCACTTTTAACAGTTGTTAAGACGTAATATTTTAAATACGGGGTGCCAAAAATGCATACATTTTAAGAACTATTACCTATGTATTACTTTTCGAAGTTGAATTAAATTATGGCAACAATGTGAAGTATGACGTTTGCTCAACTGTGCTTCTGCCATTTTCTTTGACTGTTCCGTCACTTGGTGACACTAGTGTTCATTTAACACCATCTTTTGCGCAAACATCAAACTTAAAATGTGTGTATTTCTTTGGCACCCCCGTATACGTATATATTTATAATACATATATATATGTTTTGAGTCGGGGTCTCACTCTATCACCCAGATTGAAGTGCAAGTAAGCAGTGAATTTTTTCCTTTAAATGAGCTAGATGTGATCAAGTACTCCATTTCCATGCCCTTTCAGACTGTTTTTTTGTTTTGCTATATCTTTTTGATTTTGCTTTGTTTTGCTATTATCATATCACTAAAGTAGGTACTACTGATTATGAATGTATTATTATACATTCATTAAGAGACTGAAATAGGGCAACCCCTTCAGGTCCCCTCCCATTGAAGGAGCTTTTCTGTCCTCTCAATAAATCCTGCTTCTTTAAAAAAAAAAAAAAAAAAAAAAAAAAGACTGAACGTTTATGCATTGGCAAAGTTAGGGTGCTGTACTGAAAATAGGCTGTTAAATTTAATAAAACTATCTATGAAAGAATCCCATTTGAACTGTTTACAGAATTCTTGGCTTTTTTCATTTTAACACCCCCACGCTTTTTGTGACCACTACAAAATCTTATTTTAGGATTAAAAAGAGAATTCAGTTGTGATCATTTCCTCAGTCCTCCCAAAGAATTCTGCCAATATTTGAAAAACACCAATGGCTCTTCCTCACTTTAACAAATGATTGGCCAGATTTAGCTCACTAAACTTTAATTTTTCCAGGTCTCATTTTACCAGCTGAAATAGTGAGTATTCTGAATATATTTAAGTAATCAAAAACATAACTGCAAAGAGAAAATCATTTTGAAAATTTTCACATTCATGGTTATTACTATATATAATGCAAGTATCGCCTCAAAAGTATTTTTCTCAATTTTTAAAAAATTGGATTCTTACAGAAAGACAAGGGTTTTGAATAGGCAAGAAATGCAAGGCTGGACATACTTGCACAACTTCAGAGAAACACAAATGTAGCGGGTTACTTGAATGAATGCAAAGACAACAAAAAAGCAAGGTACTTAACTGAGCTCTTGGTGTTTTTTCCAATGTACCAAATCTTAATTCCCCCAAACCAGGCAAATCAGCAAGACTTAATAATATAACTAATTATCTAAATACTATTATTCCTAAAGAAAGCAGTAGGTGTGAATTGTAAACTTTAGATCAGAAAGCAAAGCTAAGGAAGGCCAACTGGACAGTGGTGTAACTTGGGTGAGTTCCATTTTAAGATCTTTGGTAAAGAACTGCAACATTTAAGTTCTGAAGTATGGCTATTTTTCAAGCTAAGAAATATAAATCTTGATGGTAATAAATGAGTAATTTTGGTTTCTCATCAGTGTGGGAATTCAACATAGACAAATATTTACACCATGAAACTACAATTATGCTCCCTCCAAAATGCAATACTTGCAACTTGTGTACCCTGATCGTCTGTTTCTTTTTCCTTTCCAGATAACCACATTTTAATATCAGCTTTGGTGATTGCTAGCACAGTAATTTTGACGGTTTTGGGAGCAATCATTTGGTTCCTGTACAAGAGAAATTCTGATTCTGGTTTAACCACCATTTTTACAACTGCACCCCAATCACCTTACAATGAAGACTGTGTTTTGGTAGTTGCAGAAGAAAATGAACACGCTGTCCAGTTCGATTAAGTTTTAGGTAATCTCAGACTAACACATCAAATACCTTAACAGTGATTCCTGGAAAGACTTTAATATAAAATTTCACATTGAAAATTATAGCTTTTATGGTATTCCTTATTCTAGTAACATTTTTATGTATTCCCTAATTGTGCCAAAAATTAATCTTCAGGTTCATTATAAAAATGGGTTTTAGTAAAAAATCTTAGATTTTAGTGGTTTTGACCATCTCGTCAAGTACAGAACCTTTCATTTGTCTGCTTGGCTTACTTCTAATCTTCCCTTCGATTTAGTTGAACCAGTTTAGTTTATAACTTTATAATAAATGTGAAATTGGGAATATGCTTGATTTTTAAATACATCCTCTACTTTTTAAGATCCTTGATAATGGTTACTTTGGCAGATAATTTCTCTGGAATTTGCATCTTCCTTTATGAATCAGATGAAGAAAATTTTACAGCTTTTAACACCCCATTTTAGTCTCATTACTTTTACACACACCATTTTATCATAAACGATTGACATTTTAATAAGTTTATACATTTTTGAAAGAAAATAAGATAACCGTGTCCAGGAAGCCAAGGAGAAAGCTGGCAATGAGGCTAACACTTATAGTGCCCCTTTAAAGATTTTTCTCCTGCCACCATACCTTTCATGCCTTATAATTGCTTATAAAGCAATTATTTTTTTCCTTCAGTGATATAACTGTATAAGCAAAGACTAAGGAAAAACCCTAAGTACAGCAATAGTGACAATACAATGATCAAAGTTTTTAGCACATTTACTGTACATTTTAAGGAAAAGGTGAAAATCATTTTGGGGAGGAAAACAATCAGAGAAAACCAGAGTGATTTTCTTCAACATCTATAGCTAAAAAACACTATTAGGACAGGTAAAGGATATATAGATTTCACATAAAATTAGACATGCATCACTTAAAGGAGACACATTCTAAGAAACGTACCCTTAGGCAATCTTGCTGTGCGAATGTCCCAAGTGTACTTACAACACAAACCTAGATGGTAAAGCCTAGGCTATATAGTGTAGCCTACTGCTCCCAGGCTACAAACCTACACAAAATGTGACTACTGAATAATGGAGGCAACTGTATCACACTGGTATTTGTGTATCCAAACAAAGCAAGGTAAAATAAAAATATATTATGATCTTGGTCAGGGGTGGTGGATCATGCCTGTAATCCCAACACTTTGGGAGGCGGAGGAAGGGGACTGCCTGAGCCCAGGGGTTTGAGAACAGCCTTAGCAACTTGGCCAGGCCTCATACCTACAATAAACCAAAAAAATTAACGGGGCATGGTGGCATGTGCCTGTAGTTCCAGCTACTTGGAAAGTTGAGGCTCAAGGGCCACCTGAGCCCAGCAGGTCAAGGCTGTGGTGGCCATGAGTTGCACTCCAGCCTGGGCAACAGATAGATTCTGACTCAAAACAAAACAAAACAAAACACACACACACACTTGAAATTTCGGTAGCAGTGTAGTATGACGTTCACTCAACCACGCTTCCACCATTTTGTCTTGTCACATGGTGATGCTAGCATTTATTTAATGCCATCTTTTGAGTGAACATCATTCTTAAAATGTGTACATTTTTTGGTACCCCCAGTATATAGATATATAAAAAATAATTTTATGGGAACATTGTTGTACATGTGGTCCATTGCTGACAAAAACACCATGTAGTGTATGACTGTATTGACTATATTTAGAAGCTTGAAAGCTCAAAGAAAGTAATTTTTTTCCTGATCTCATACCCCATCAATTATCTTATGAGGAATCTTCTCTTTCTAGCTTGATACTCACCAACTTGACCCTCAACCTTGGCAACCAAGTTCTGGCTTATGCCATCTCTTTTCACTGACCACTATGAATAAAAATCATGTGTCCACTAATTAAAGGCAGTAATGAGACACAAAGAACTACAACGTGGTGACAGAAAACTATTAACAGTATGGCTACGTGGCACTAAAAGAGCAAGTGTTACATAAGCTGTGTTTTTCAAAAACTTTAAATTACTCAGATTTTGTGTAGTGCTTTGTCAATTTTATTACAGATGGGCTATTAATAATGGTAATAGTGAACATTAGCCAGGAAAAACCCTTCTTTTCCTACCAAATTCTACCACTACTTTAAGAACTAAGACCAATCTTATTGCTTTCCTAAAACCAGGTCTCAAATTTCTAGAACTACAATGTCCAAACAGCCACTAGCCACATGTGGCTATTTAATAAGTTAAGATTAAATACAGCCTGAAATATCCAGTTCCTCAATTATATCTGCCACATTGTCAAGTGCTCAAATCACATGTGGCTAGTAGCTACCACGCTGGGCAGCATACATTACAGAAAATTTCCATTACTGAAAGTGTTATTGGGTAGTGCTGCTCTTTAATCTCCCCTTCACTTAACTTCCATACAATTAACTTTCTTCTGTGTATGTTGACAATTTCTAACTAATGACAGCCTTTCAAAAATGGCTGTTTTAAACTATGATTTAATTTTCAATGTATGATTTCACTTTTCAACAGTTTTAGAGGCCTCTGGTAATAAAGTGCTAAGTTTTTTTAATATGTCAGAACACCTATGGGGGGGACCCAAAAAACCCAGAATATACAAAGAATTGCTTATTCTTACATGTTTAAATTTTAGTCACCTTCAGAGTACTCTGTTTGATGCAGTACACCTATTGAGATGCTCTGTCCACTGCTCAAAACAGTTTTTGAACTCATCGATTTTAATGCCTTTTAGTGCTTCCGCTGTTTCACTTCTTTCACAAAGGCAAAATGTTTCCCTTTGAAAACTTTTTTCTTGGGGGTGGGGGTAACAAAAAAAGTCGTTTGGGACAAGATCAGGTGATAGGAAGGGTGGGGCATGAGGGTCATGCTGATTTTGGTCAAAAACTGCTCAACATTCAGTGTGGTGGTGGGCAAGTGGGCTCATAAATCACCCACCATGAAATGGGCAAAGTGTTGAAAGAATCTAAAAAAAAAACAAAAAAAAATCCACTAAAGCAGAATGCAGCCTCTCATAACAACACAAGCTGGTACACTGATGCCAATGGGTTCCTACAAGCACTTGCCTACCAGGAAAAGCCGGTACCACAAGAGGTTTGCACTTCAAAAAAATAATTCCAGCTTTTTTGTGTGTCCCCCTCATATAAAGGCCCTTTTATCATACAGGCAGACTTGCTTACTATATTCATAATATAGAAATTGATTTCTTCAACATCTTGGTTCTAGCTGGTAATAGCCATATAGTTCTTTGGCCAGATATCTAGACAGAATAACATTTTAAATTATATTTTCTTTCTCAATTTGCATTCTCTACAGTAAGCGTATATGATCTTCTTACATTTGTGTTCAGAGTTTAAAAGTGGTAACCAATAAAAGCCTTTTCTTATTCCTCTAGTGTCATTACATGGTAATCAGAAGCTACTATGACAATATTTAAATACTAAGTGGCATTAAGAACTACAAGAATACTGTAAGGCTAAAGTCATTGTTGTTATCATTTAGCAGTTAATGACAAAACTATATAGAAATAAATTATATGCATACCCTTGTAATTTTTTCTACCCTTAAGCTAAAAAAAAATTTTTTTTTTTTTTTTGAGTTGGAGTCTCACTCTGTCATCCAGACGAGTGCAGTGGCTGCTCCCGGCCACCGCAGCCTCGACCTGCTGGGCTCTGGCGATCCTTTCGCTTCAGCCTTCCGAGTGGCCGGAATTACAGGCGTGTGCTACCACGCCCGGCTAATTTTTTGATTTATTGTAGAGATGAGGTCTCAGCCTGCCCAGGCAGGTCTTGAACCCGTGGGCTCAGGCAATCCACTCACCTCAGCCTCCCAAAGGCGCAGGATTACAGGGTGAGCCACCGAGCCCAGCTGCTAAAATTTTTAAATTAAAAAATGTTATGGGTTAAGAAGACACCTGTCGTGTTCAATTTTATTAAAAGCACACATGTTTCAAATTCAAAGCATCCCTAAAGACCTATAGGATATACTGAAACTACCATCTTAAGTTCTGTATTTTTGCTTTAAGACAATGCAAAGATAACTGGCAAGTATTCAGCAAATGTTCTAGAAACATTATTGTATGGAACGGGATTTTAAATTTTAATGTCTTGGTTATAAAGTTTGAATTTTATTTGAGCAGTTTAAAAAAAACATTTCAAACTGTAAAATAAATCAGTATGCACTTTATTTCAAGCCAATGTTTTACATAAAACCAACAAACTGTGGGCAAACTGTTAATTCACTTTTGAGAAATTACATGGCTTCTATTTAGGTTCTGAAAAAGTAGTTTGTTGCTGTAACAGCAGACACATTAATTGAAATCACCTGAAGCTGTTTTTAGTATACCCTAAGGGAGATGACAGAGGAAAAATACAGTGTTACGGAAATATACACAACTTGTGACCACAGAGTAGACCCATTCATTGTAAATAGATAATGTTCATTTGTCTTCCAAAGGTAGTGAAAAACATTAATAAGTCATCAAATAAATGCTCGGAATTACCAAGAAACAGTTAAAAACGACCAGGATCCAAACAGGTTATTTATGTCATATTTATCTATAAAGAAGTGACAACACTAAAAAACACATTGAAAACCAGTGTTTTAAACTTTGAATGTGGGATTTAAAAATATTCTTTTAACTTGAGATTGCAATAATTATTTTTTAACCAAATAGCATTTAACTGGCAATTCTGATACAATTTACAGCTGCAATATTCCTAAAAGGAATATCTACATACTATGGCCTATCAAATATAATCTGTATTTTGTAAATCAATACAAAAATTTATCCATCATTTATACATTTTATATACTTTTGCAAAAATTAGATTTTATTGCTAAATGGATTTAGAATTCAAATTATATTTGGAAACCTAATATAATGCTCTTCATAACATTTTCCCCATTCTTTTATTTTTATTTTAAACACTGGAAACAAATAATTATCAAAATGAGACTCCAACTTAAGGCATTTTAAAGGAAAAATAATTAGGTGCCATTTGGCATTTTATTTCAAAAGCATATAAGTCCCACTTTTCTCACTAGCAAGAGAGCAAGAGGCTAAACACAAACCTTTTTTTCCCTCATAAATATGGTTACAGTAATCAGAACACAAAAGAGGGTCTATGGGCATTGCTTAGACATTGAAAACAAGGGTAATACTTTCCCACGCATCTAAAAGAAAAAACCTTTTGATTACCAGTTTATAAACATCAAAATTGCTGTCCATGTTAAAAGGTCCAGCAGAAGAATTTTAATTCAGCAACACTTGACAATGAATATATATATACAAGTATATATGTGTATGTATATATTCATTGGATATATAGTCAATGTATTTAATAGGCATTCCCCCACAAAACTAATTCATACTTAATTGCCAGTTTTAATAAACACTTGTTCACAGATCATCCATCTGTCTTATATGCAGTTAGGCAATATCAAATGTTCTCTTATGGTCTCCATCTTATTCGGAATCATCCTCTGAAACTGTTGAAAGAAAACAGGATGATCAAGAATGATTTTAAGGGGGATAAGAATTGAAGGTGTAAATATGAAGCCAGAACAGCAATGATTTGTAAAACAAATCCCAATTTAGTATACTATTTGACCAAAATGATGTTATATGACAGGGTTAGGGTGATTTGACTGTGGCCCATCCACGATGCCCCCAACCCCACATCTTTTTGTGATGCTATACAGTGTTTATAAAAATAAAAATGTTTAAAAATGTGGTTCAACAGCATCTTCTAAAAGGTTTCTGGGATCATTCTGTGTTCATAGTACCTAATGATATATATACTAGAAAAAAAGTGAATTTAAGGCAAGGGCTTTCACACACCTGAGTAGAATCTGGCTTATTACTGCTGCATGTTTGATGCATCTGATGAGAATGAAAAAAAATGTACACAGAATAACAGGTTATGGGCATATCTGCAATTTACATCAAAGCTATGTCTACACAATGCCAAAATAAAGTTCTATTTAGTAAGTCAAAAAAGCTTTATATAGACACAGCCTAAGTTAAAATAACTGGATTCAGTGAAAGCCCATTCACTGTTAAGATTATTCCCATTGTCTCTCTATACTGTCAGAAACATCACTTTTGTAACATTTCTGACCTCAATTTATTCAAGAGTCACTAGTGACTCAAGAGTTAATGTAAGACATGCTGGAAAGTTTTTAGGAAGGATACAGTAAATATAAAACTATATATTCTGTGAAATGCTTTGCATGTGAAGGAAAATGAAAGTTCACTAAAATAAACGGCTAACCAGCATCTCCCCCCTCCCATTATCAAGGGCGGAAAAGTTTAATGTACTTTTTTCCTATTAATACCAAATAACATAAGAGCATCTAGCAAATGGAATCAACCTAGAATAAAACACAGAAACAACACTTACATGCATACATCAGAATTTACTATTCATACTATGGTACTTAGATGTTAACTTGTAGCACCCTACCTTTCACGCTAAACTGAGTTTGAGTGCGTTTCACCTCCATATTTTTCCTCTCATTTGTTGGGGGCAGACATTATTTTTTTGAGTTGGAGTCTCACTCTGTCGCCCAGGTTGGAGTGCAGTGGCACATGCATGGCCACCCCAGTATCGACCCGCTGGGCTCTGGCGATCCTTCCGCCTCAGCCTTCCAAGTAGCTGGAACTACAGGCGCGCGCTACCACGCCCGGCTAATTTTTGATTTTATTGTGGAGACGAGGTCTCACCAAGTTGCCCGGGCTGGTCTCAAACCGCGGGTTCAGTCAATCCACTCGCCTCGGCCTCCCAAAGTGCTAGGATTACAGGCTGAGCCACCGAGCCCGGCCAAGTTAGTTTTTTAAAAACAAAGAATCAGAGGAAAATGTACACAAATTACTGTCATTACATCAAAGTATAAATTATAATTTTCAAACAAGGACAGATCTCTGCATTAGCAAACATAAGGAATCTGAACTAAAAAAGTATAGAGAAAAAAATGTTTAACACCAAATGAATTCCCACTGACTCCTTTATTTTCACATATACAATAAATTGTGAAAATATTTTATCTCAAATCCTCGAAAACTTAAAAATGGTACAGACTCACAAAAATCCATGTCTTAGAATAGTCAAGAAATTAAAAGGTTCTTAGGAGGACTAAGTCCTTCTTAAACCTACCTCAAAAAATGCTGAGCTTTCTCTACAGGTAAAAATGTTATGCACACTACAGATAACACTCCAAATATTTTGAAGATGAGTATTGAAAGTAATCAATTGGAGAATATGTATTTTAAAAAATATTTCAAATAGTGTACTGGGATGGGAAGCTTGTTGCTTTGGGTGGGAAAAAAAAATGCAGGGCTTGTATGAGGTAATCTTGGATTCCTGTTCCAGAGCCATCAATACCTACAATCACTTGGTATGAAGCACCCTGAAGTTACAGGATTTTGAGGGTAGGCTGTGCAGATGCCTGTAAAGATTTGGGCATTAAATGCTTTCACACAGGAGCTCAAAGTTTCAACAGTGAAACACAGTCTTAAGGATACTGAAGCTGCTGACAGAGTTGGCTGCCTATTAAAAGTACATGAGACAAAAACCAAAAATACACCAACACTATGGCTTCTGTTTGGACTCAGAATCATGATTCTTTTCCTATTTTCCTGGAACCTTATGTAAGCCCAGGAAAAACTTTGCATGATCCAACAAAGCTGAATAATAAGTAAAACTTGTTATACATACAAAAATATTCTAACAGATGAAGAAATGTTGGTTGATTATAGTTAAGAGTTATAGCTTCTTTTTGATTACAAGTCTTAAAATCAAAAAAATCAAAAATTTTATCTAAAAATAAAAAATACTGATAGTTAAAATCCACATCCTTCCATAGCTTAAAATAATTTTAAAAATATGCTTAACTAAAGTCAGTTGCCCAACCCCATAATTCCCAAATCACCCTTTTTGGTATTATTAAGCCTATTAAAAAAGCTCTAATTTGGCAAAAAGAGCATATACTTAGGTTTTACTCTGTAGGTTTAATTAGTGAAAGTAAATTCAACAAGTCTGGGGAGGGGAAATTCCACCTACTTTCAAGATCTTCCATATGTGCCTGAAGAGTTCTTGCAAGGTTAATAAACTAGAAACAATGCAGAAAGAAATAGAGTAGTTTAAATGTTGCCTACGAATCTAAAGAGACTCAGTACAGGAGATTCATTTCTATTTAAAAAGTCAAACAACATTTTAAGCTTTTAAATAGGGGTCTTTCTACCTCCACATCAAAAATTTTAAGCTTAAGGTATTATTTTCTAAATGTTTCATATAAGCATTAACCATGTAGAAACCAGTTTCTTGAAACTGGGAGTAGATAAAATACTTTTATCCAACAGTACTGTCTTCTTATATAGCACTTTAAAAATTATGAAATGGAGGGGAATAGACAAAATACAAACAAAGATTTGTAAGTTGGACCCAAGTTAGTGGTCAATTAAAAAAATTTAAAAAGCCTCCCCCAGAAGTATACATTTAGTTCTATACTTTTAAAAAAATCCTAAAAATGACTTTCACTTTGGAAGGCCATCCAACTCTTTCAAATGTCCCACTTTAACACTTGTTAATATGAGCTTTTACAAACACAAATTCACAGATCTTATATACTTTATGTGGTTTATTCTAAAAAGTTGATACTAGAAATCATTTTACAACCCTAACTTAAAGTTAGGGGCTCATGATTTCTAAAGTACTTAGAAGTCAAGAAATCTTTGTTCAAATTTTGAACATTCTTGATAATTTGTTTTCCTTCAATGATAATAAACTATCAACTGGCTTACTAGAATATCCACATAATAAAATACAGAAAAGTATTTTAATAATATAGAAGTAGTATATACATTAAATTGCAGCTATTTAATAATTTTCAGAATGAAAACATTATACCTTAACATGAACTATACTAAATTTTTATCACCGAAGTGAACATTTATATTAAAAAAGTTTAAATAATAATATTTATGGCCAGGCACAGCAGCTCAAGCCTATAATCCCAGCACTTTGGGAAGCAGAGGCAAGAGGATTGCCTGAGTCCAGAAGTTCGAGACCAGTCAGGGCAACATACACTATATCAAAAAATTAACCGAGCATGGTAACACGCGCCTGTAGTTCCGGCTACTCAGAAGGCTGAGGCAGAAAGATCACCTGAGCCTAGCAGGTCGATGCTGGGGTGACCATGAGCGTGCCACTGCACTCCAGCCTGGGCGACAGAGTGAGATTCTGACTTGAAAAAAAAAAAAAAAGTTATGAACACATTTCAAGATATTAAGTGTTCAGAATGGTATAAAATAGAGATCTAGTCTCTGCTATGCAAAATGGCCCAAGCAGCAGAGTAAAAAGTTTCTTCTGGTACAGAGGCAAACAGCATTATTTGCATAGCCTAAATGTTGTATTATGGCTAATAGTGTACATAATGTAAACAACCAACTAGTCCATAATAGTTTGTCCTGTAATCTCTTACAGGACAGTACAAATAAATTGAAGTTAATTTCCTAAACTCTTTTGGCTTTTGGAGTTTAATTTCAGGTTTTTAATGGGGGTTTTGTTTTAATTAAAAAGTCCATTTTCCCTTGGCATTTCCAATTCTGTCCCTGTTTTTTCACTGAAATATATTCCAATTACCTTCAAGTGTCAGAAAATTACTTCTTTCTCTAAAATAGTTTGTGAGAAAATTAAGTCGCTTATTACAGAAGACAGCAGTTTCCATCAAATCTACAATATCTTTATTTTAAATAAATATTTTAAAATAAAAGCTCTCCAAAGAAAACAGGATGTGAACATATAAAACAATCTACTTTCCAAGGCAAACATTTGCTTTACCAACCCCTCCCCCATTCCACATTACTTACTCGGACACGTGTGCTTGGTTCATTTGTATTTCCCATCATATCAGAAAAGCTTTGTTCACACAAGTGCAATAACACAACTAGGTAGAGACCAGAGCTGATAAATTCATACTCAGCCTTCAACAGGGAAGCAAACAGGAGAAAAGGAAAAATATGGAGAATGAAAAGTCAGTAGAATTGAGATTGATAGTCACAGTATATTGATAAACTAGAAGAAATATACTCATATCCAGATTCTAGTAGGGGATATAGTGTCATTTATTAAAACAAGAAGTAAAAGACTGCTTCATAACTTCATAAAATTGTACTATTGCCATGATAGGCCCAAATAGGTATAAATATCATTTTAATTCTCATATAGTCTCCCTATAATGATTTATATAAAATGATGTATATTTATTATAATGATTTATATAAAAGTACAGTTTTTAAATCATTTGTTGGTAGAATGAATGCTTTGCTTTTCAATAAAGCGCATAACTTTCATTATACAAACGGCTATAACTATGTTTAGTTAAAAATTACCATTTCATTTATAGCTAAATATACTACCATAACTAAAATCTATTCTGATCGCTCAAGTGTTTTTGGTGTAATACAATTAACTTAAAGGAAACAGTAAATAAAAGAATGAACTAATAAAGATAACAGTGTAACTCATCATTCACACAGAAATTTGTAGTTGGCAAAAACAGTTCTTTGGTTCAAAACTCTTCTGTTGTGTCGACCTAAAAGAAAGAAGCTGAGGCAAAATTAATATAGTGTTTATTTGGGTTAAAGTTCAGGACTGCAGTCAGGGATACACTTCCAAATTGCGTTGGGGAGTGCTCCGGAAATCAAAGGAGAGGCTCACATTTTTAAAGAAAAAAGGACAAATCAAGAGAAGGGGTGATTACAAAAGCTGTTCATCAGGAATTCTCACTGGTTTATAGAAATAACATTGATTAAATGGTTGGCTATATACACTGCTGAACTATAGGGGATATGGTATTTTATGGTTACTCAGCATCAGTTAGTCTAGAGCCTAAAAAGCAAGTGGCTTCAAGAGGTAATTATTTAGCTCAAGGGAGAATAAGACAAGACTGCTTCAACATTTTAAATGCCTCATCACTGACCCTAATAATTTAATGGAGCTCTTACTTATCAAATTTCTTTCCCCACTCACAGTTGTATGAAGCTATGAATATAAACCATTAATATAATGTTACTAGAAATCTAATCTATCCCATTATTTTTATGGTGGACTGTCTACAAATTATACCTTGCTGGGTAATTAACTCATTGGAAGTTAAGAACTACATGTCCTTAGTACCAACTTTAAGAAAGTAACTGATTATCAGAGTCCAAGTATTTAAGGAATTTGAATTTTATTAAAAGTTTCTTTAAATGCTTCTCTTAATAACTATTTTGCTTATTTTTAAAATCATGTATCCAAAAAGATTTATAATTATAAATAATTATCACCTTTAAAAAAGATGACGCCACTGGATGAGGATATAGACTATTAAACAAATCACTTAATATGAGGGTAGATTTTAGGCCACCAGAATCCGTTATTCACATAGAACAAATAAGTTAAAGCCAGGAAGCTTAATCAAGATTGCCACTATTTTTATGACTCCACCTAATATTTCCTAGTACTTCTAAATTATTCAAGAATATGGGTCATTAAAACGAATAAAAATATTCCTGGCTGAAATGGAAAGGCAAAGAACTGCCTTTAAGAGACATGATGAAGCATCTAGAGAAGAAAGATGGCAGGAGAAAGCAATCCTTTTGAAATCTTGCATTTTGAGAAGACAATTTTTTTTAAAAAAATTTCTGCATTATTCCAGCTTTCCATACTCTTTTCCCTATACTTTAAGATACAAATGCTCAGTTGTCTACAGTGACACCTTGGGGATTTAAGACATTTATTTGCTGAGAATAATTATCTTTTTGGACAACTAGCTTATTAAGAGAATAAAATATAACTGGTAATAGATACCATTTATGCTACATCAACCGTTTAATGTTTCATTCTTTAGATCAGTGATTCTTAACCTAGATCCTTCATTGGCTCTAGGAATCCCTTAAATTATATACAGTATTTGTATCTGTGTATTTTTAAAGAGGGGTACATAGTTTTAATCAGATTTGCAAAGGGTATTCATTATTTTCTTTTTTTTTCTTTGAGACATGGTCTTGCTCTGTTGCTCAGGCTGAAGTGCAGTGGCATGATCACAGTTCACTGCAACCTTGATCTCTTGGGCTCAAGAAGCAATTCTCCTGCCTCAGTCTCCTGAGTGGCTGGAACTACAGGCACGTGCTACCAAACCCAGCTACTTTGCTTAGATTTTATAGAGAAAAGGTCTTGCTGTTGCCCAGGTTGGTCTTGACTCCTGATCTCCAGCTGTTCTCCTGTCTTGGCCTCCCCAAAGTGCTGGGATTACAGGCATGAGCCACTACACCTGGCCAATTTTCCACATTTTAAAAATAAAGATGGTTCAAAAGAGATCATATATTCTATGATTCCACTTACAGAGAACATCCAGAACAGGTAAATCTATAAAACACAGATTGGTGGCTGCCAGAAGCTGGGAGAAGGATGGAATGGGAAGCAATGGCTTATTGGATATAGAATTTTCTTTTTGTGTGATGAAAATGTTTTGGAACTAAACAGAGACAGCAGTTAAACATCGTTGTGAATGCACTAACATTACTTAGCTGTTCACTTTAAAATGTGTGTATGTTTTGGAATCTCATTCAATATTAAAAAAGAAGAGGGAGGGTACAGTGGCCCTATAAGTGTTTTTCAAGCACTTTATGCATTCCCTTGCCATCTTATCTCTTTGTATAACAAATATGCTAACCATATTTGTTTTAACAGTTTGGCTCTAGAATCACCCTTGTAATCTCCTTAAATACATCGCCCCACATCCCAGAATTTTCCTCCAGTAGGGAAAAAGTGGGAAAATGCTGAGCTCTTCATTCTGTCATTTAACCATCTCAAAAACTTACAGCTGTGGGGAAATAAGGTTGGCGTTACTTCTTTGGAATCACTTTCCTAAACTGTTATTTTCAGATTTATTTAGGAAGCACGATGGATTTCCTCTTAATAAATTTAAAACCTGTTTTGGTTATCTTTCACTTTTAAAAAGTTAAGAAAATATAAAGAAAAATTATGAATTATAACACCTATTGCAGTAACAAAATTATGTTAAGAACCTTATTATTACTGTTATTATCCGAATGCAAAGTTTCTGACCATGATTTAATCTTTTCTTCAAGAGCTGTCCTTGACGCATAGAATAGACACTTACCAAATTAGGCAAAATATACTAACTTGTTCATTTGCATGAGCTCCATGTAATTCATGAATATCAAAATCCTCCAGGTTAAGCTGCAACTTCTCTTTACAGAGTTCACAGGTGGTTACAGCCTCTAATGAAGAACCTGATATAAATTGAATTATAAGTGAAACTGTTTTACAATGTCTTCATAAAATATTTTTCTTTGTTAGGTTCTAAACTTAAAAAAAATAACTGAAAGGACAAGGGAAAGGAAAGAAAATATTACATTACTGCAGTAAACCAGATGTCTCCTAAAATAGCAATCTGCAATTGCTAATTACTGTGCATGTCAGGTCCTGCCCTATAGTACTTAAGCCTCCACCTATTATTTAGATTATCTCTGTTGTTTTATTCCTCCCAGATACTCATACATACTCCCTTGACCTCTTGGGCTGAAACAGTCCTTCCACCTCAGCCTCCTGAGTGGCTGGGAATACATGTGGTTATTTTGCTTAGTTTTTGTAAACACAAGGTCTCGCTATGTTGTTCAGGCTGGTCCTGACCTCCTGGCCTTTAGCCATCCTCCTGTCTGTCACAGGAAGCTGACAGAGGCAATGGAATGTCATCTGTACTTCCTACTTATTAAGTACCTTCATTAAGTTCATGATGCCATGAAAACAATGATGTAACAACTAGTCACACCCAGACCTGTATTTCTGATATACCTAAGACCTTCTGAAGTTTAAGGAATGCGCCTTCCTTACTGGCTAGGGGAGTGGGGGTGGGGTGGGGTAGGGAGAGAGAGATACCTTTTTCCAAATAAAAGCTGCTCTCTTTAGCCATAAAAGCAGTTAAGTCTTGATACATGCTACAAAATCAATGAACCTTGAAAACATGCTAAGTAAAATAAGGCAGGTACAAAAGTACAAATATTTTATGATTCTATTTACATGAAATATCCAGAAACGAAGATTCACAGGCACAGAAAGTAAGTCAGAAATTACCAGGAATTTAGTAAAGGGGGAGGTAGGGAAATGGGGAGTTACTGTTTAACGGGGACAGAATTTCTGTCCGGGATGATGAAAAAGGTTCATCTTTTTCTGCCTTGGAAAAAGGTTTTGGCAATGGTTGCATAAAACTCTAAATCAGGGTGTCCAAACTTTTGGCTTCCCTGGGCTGCATCAAGTTAAGAGGAATTGTCTTGTGTAACACATAAATTAAAATATAGTGTATATACATATATAAGACGACTTTTAAAAATGTATATTTTTATTATGATGTTCAGAAAAATGAGAATATAAAACTAGTGGGAAATTTGGCCTTGTTTTTTGCAAAAAACAATGTCTGTTTCAATGGAAGTGGTCTCAATTCTTAGTGAGTTCTCAAGGTTCTTGTCAGAAATGTTTGTTCGAGTTTTGCTCTTCGTGTGCTTCATAACTGAAAACAGTTGCTCACAAATGTATGTGCTGCCAAAAAGTGGTATCATAAAGAAGATATGACTGTGAGCTTTAAAAATGGAACTATGCACGGTATCTTGAAGTACATAAAAACTAAAAAGCACATAACATTAAAAGACGGCTGCAGCCGGGCTCGGTGGCTCAGCCTGTAATCCCGCACCTTGCGAGGCCGAGGTGACTGGACTATCTGAGCCTGCGGGTTCGAGATCTGCCTGGGAAACTTGGCGAGACCTCATCTCTACAATAAATCAAAAATCAGCCAGGCGTGGTAGCGCACGCCTGCAGTTCCAGCTACTTGGAAGGCTGAGGCGAAAGGATTGCCGGAGCCTAGCAGGTCAAAGGCTGTGGTGGCTGGGAGCGGCCATTGCACTCCAGTCTGGGCGACAGAGTGAGACTCCAATTCAAAAAAAAAAACACAAAAGACAGCTGCATTACTAGCTGTACTGGGCTGCATGCAGCCCATGGGCCGCAGGTTGGACACACCTGATCTAAATGTAATGAATGCTACTGTATACTTAATTAAAAAACAAACAAAAAAACCTTCTGTTCCATATGCATTCAACATTTGATTATTCCTAAGCTTTCTGGCTACAACTTAATATACAGTAGTCTTGTCTAATTAAACATGTAGTTCCCCCCTCCCCCTTTGTTTATTTTTAGATAGGGCTTCCAATTGAAAAATGTCCTGAATATTAGGTTTAAATTAAATTCAACTAACACTTATTGAATGATTGTTACATTTAAGCAAAAATTAGAGGTTCTAGAAATTCAAAAAAGAGTAAGTAGTAGCCCATCTTCAAGAAGCTCCTGAAACTCTTATGTAATAACTATTTCTTGAAAGAGTAAATTTGGCATGAGGTCCAAGATGGCACTATTAACTTCTGTACATTTTCTAGATAATAGGTGAAAGAATATGAGTGCTCATCTGTAGAAGCATGTTGTCTCAAAATGATGTGTTGTCAAATTACATCAGATTTTCAGCTATTTTTCAAGTAGATGAATAAAACCCAGGTTTTTTGTTTTTGGAGTCAAGCATACATAAACATGTTAAAATTAAGATGCACCTGGAATTCTTTATATTTTTAAAAACTAGTATTGTGCCAGTGAATTAAATTTAAAATACAATCTGATGGATAATATAATGAGAAAGACATTTAAAAGGCTTTCTTTTATTAGACATTTCATAAAACTATTCACTGATTCAGAAATGGGAAAAGTATAGTAATAAAATATGAACCTTGGAGATCATTTAATACAAATCTTTTATATCTCAGGGCTTCATTTTTCTCTTCTATGGAATAAGAGACTTATCAAAATCATTCAGAGGCCATACACAGCTGAAGCAATTCATTTACTCCTACATTTCTAACCCAGGGTTCTTTTCATTTTACCTACCTCATTCAAGAGGCCCTGACTGCATCTGCCTAAACTTGTACTAGGACTTGTTTTATTCATCTTTGTACATCCTGTAGAGTTCAGCAATTCATATATGGCAGTGGCTTAACAAAAGTTTAAATCAATCTCTACCAGATGGGGGTCTTTGTGTAGGTATGAAAAAGGCTTCTGGATATTTCTCAGGAAGATTCCGTTGTTGAGACCCATACACTCAGTTGACCATCTTACAAAGTACTTATTATATCCTTCTAAAAGTAATTCCCATTAACTGAGCATTTACCAGGGACTGGTACAGCGGGAAGCTAAAAACATTATTTCTTTGACATTCATAGCAACTCTATGATGGAACTGAAGGCCAATCCCAGTCCTACTTAAAAAACCTTAAGAGCAGATCTGAATCATCTGTGTTTTTAAAAACTCCAATGGGTGATTCTAATCAGCAGCCAGGGTTGAGAACCCAATGTTAAGAAATGTGCTCAAGAGTCTATGGCTATCTAAATGTAAGAGTAAACACTCCAATCTAGGATTCTCTAACTCCAAGAACAAATGTTCTTAAACAATAAACTGTATTATCTGTTTTCCTTCATACCCAACACTAACAACCAAACTGCCAATGTATCAGAAGTTGAGTCAAGTTGTTCTTGGTAATAGCTAACATTTCTAGGCCCTTACTAAGTGTCAAGAATCATGCAAAACACTTTATATGGGTCATCTCTCATTTAGTCCTAATAATATCAGACAGATAGTGACTCCTAAAGCCTGTGAGTCACCATAACACCATACAGCTGAGAGAAGAAGCTGCTACAGGTGAAATAGCTTATCCCAGATCCCAGAGCCTTGGGCTCAGAGTAGCTTAGAAAAGAAGATATTCTGCCCATCTCATGCCCCAAAGGGAGCCTTTGCTCCCCCCGATGACATTATTGGGAACTGCAGGAAGTTTCCCAGTAGCTCCATGATCAGCTTGAACAGGTTACCCAGCTCTTCCAATAGATTATGAAAATAAAGATCGTGCCATCATATATCATAATTGTCTGTCACCAAGCTATAATCTCACATAATTCCCACCCTACTAGTAATTTCAACTGAATTCTCTGGTAATCAAAATCTAACTCCAGTAAATTTCTTTAATAACCAACCTTTTTTTTTTTTTTAAAATAATCTCTTTATTTCATTCCTGAACCACAGTGCCCATATATACATATATACACAGTGCCCATATATATATGCCTATATATACGCTCCATCAGTCATTTTGTCCCATAGCCCTTATAACTCAGGACCAAACAGCGAGGGTAGCTGTTCCCCCAACACACTGGTATTGTTGTTTTCAGATCTTAATCCCCCCTTCATTAGCACCCTGGTGAATTAGCAGCTTGCTCTCTCCTTTACCAACTTACTGCCTTAATTGTTTCAACATCCACATAGACAATTCACTTTGGATTCTAACTTCCTCAACATCCTTGTTTCCAATACTATCCCTCCCCACTTCAGCTACTTACTCTAGGTAATACCCTTGACTTTGTCACCACAACTTACTACCCCTAAATCTGTATTTTAAGCTTCCTCTACTCCTGTATATTACTTAATCTGGCAACTTTTCAGTGTTACTGAGACTTGAAGACATTGATTCGATCACTCTCTCATCATCCACTTCCTAATGTCCTTACTCCCCCCTCCTGATTTTAATATCCAGGATCACCACAATTATGTTCTTATAGGTACCTTTAACTCCCTTTATCATATCTGCCCGACAAAGGACCCAACACCCTCGAACTCCAATCCATGCCTATATCCAAGCATCTAAAAACTGCTTCAAAAAAAAAAGCACGTGTTTCACTTTAAAATCACTTTTATAGACACGAATACTGCCTGCAAACCCTACTATATACATCCACATCATTAAAATGTTATTTTTCCCACACCTCAAAACCTCCTGTCTCCTAATCAGCTAAAGACCTATCTTCCTTCCCTAAGAAAATAGAAGCAACTACATAGAAGTCACCAAAGCAATTAAAAGCCATATGTACATTAGCTTTTTCTCCTATAAAACATAACCACTTGGCTGGTAATCTGGATCCCATCTTCCTTCTCTCCTTTTCATATTTTTTTCCCTTCCCCATTGGATCTCTGAAATAAAAACATGCCCAAGGCCAGGTATGTTGGCTCACGCCTATAATCCTTGGTAGGCCAAAGGAGGATAATCACTTGAGGCCAGGAGTTGGAGGACACCTAGGTAACACAGCAAGACCCCATCTCTGCAAAAAAATGTTTAAAAAATGAGGCAGGTGTAGTGAGTGGCAAGTGCTGTGATCCTACTAATCAGGAGGCTGAGGAAGGAGGATCATTGAGCATAAGAATTTGAGGCTGCAGTAAACTATGATTGTTCAAGTGTACCCTACCCTGGGCAAAAGAGCAAGATCTTGACTTTTTCTTTTTTTGGCATTGGAGTCTCACTCTTGTCGCCCAGGCTGGAGTGCAGTGGCACACTCACGGCCACCACAGCCTCGACCTGCTGGGATCAGGCAATTCTTCGGTCTCAGGCTTTCAAGGAGCTGGAACTATAGACGCATGCCTGGCTAGTTTTTTGTGTGTGATTTATATAGAGATGAGGTCTCACCAAGTTGCCCAAGCTGATCTCGAGTCCCTGGCCTTAGGCAATCCTTTCGTCGGCAATCCTCTCGCCTCGGCCTCCCAAAGTGCTGGGATTACAGGCTGAGCCATCATGCCCAGCCAATCTTGACTCTTAATAAACAAACAAACAAACAAAACACCCTAGGATCTCCTACCTCAAAATAAAACACTTCTTGTGACCCCCATATGGCTCTTATTCTTGCCTTATGTTTCCAATCTCCTTGGTAGTAAATTTGTCAAAAGAGAAATCTATACTGCTGTCTCTCCTTTCTTCTGTTTCTTTCTCTCCTCAGTCCAGTCTAATCAGGCTTAAGTTCTCATCTTACTTGATCTCAGCAGTACAGGGTTATTCACACCCTCCTTAAAACATGGTGTTCTTCTAGCTTGCACAATAATTTTCTTCCTAACTGGCTGAAGGCTGCTCCTCAAGTCTCCTCTGCTCTCACTAAACGTTTAGGTGCCCTAGAACTTTGTCATGGGCCATTTCTTTGTATTTGCTCTTCCTCTAGTTGACCTTATTCAGTTCCAAAGCTTCGAATAGTATTTATGTGCTCATAAACTCCCAAAACTGTAACTTTCAGTGTTTCTCCTGAAATGCCAGACTTGTCTAGCTGACATTTCCATATGATTATCTAATAAGCAATTCAAATATAATATGTCCAAAACAGAACTCATTTTGTTTCCTTTACAGCTTGTTTCACCCCTAAAAGGCGCCACCATCCACTTAGCTGCTTAAGGCAAAAATTTTAGCGTCTCTAATTTTCTTTCTCTTATTCCATCACATCCAATCTATTCGCAAGTATTACAAAATCCACCTCCAAAATAAACAAGAATCTACTCATTTCTATCATCACCCTCACCACTACTACATGCTAGTCATCACCAACTCTAGCAGGTGCTACCTATACTAAATTCCTGGTTGGTCTCTCTGTATCTACTCATCTCTCTAAACTCCACAGAGCACCAAACATACGTAAGAACATTTTATTTCCCTCCTCTTCAGTAGCTTCCCATTATACTTAGATAAAATCTAAGCTCTGGACCTTTAAGAATCTTACATAGCTAGTCTCTGCTTTCTCATTTTAACTGTATCACCCACCCCTCCCACCTCACTCACTAATTGCACAACAGCCACACCACTGTGCATAATTCAGCTCCTCAAACAGAACTAAGTTGACATCCACTTTAAAGTCTCTGCACTAGCTGTTCCCTATATTAGAATGCTCTTCCTGGTTGGGCGTGGTGGCTCAGACCTGTAATCCCAGCACTTTTAGGAGGCTGAGGTGAGAGGACTGCCTGAGCCCAGGGGTTTGAGACCAGCCTGGGCAACTTGGAGAGACCACGTCTCTACAACAAATCAAAAAATTAGCCAGGCGTGGTGGTGGGCGCCTATGGTTCCAACTACTTGGAAGACTGAGGCAGAAGGACTACCTGAGTCCAGCAGGTCGAGGCTGCAGTAGCCATGATTGTGCCACTGCACTCCAGCCTGGGTGAGAGTGAGACTCCAACTCAAAAAAAAAAAAGAATCTAAATTCAACAATAAGCAAGTCAAATTTGTTAGCCAATCTTCATATATAGGCGCATTTCTTGAGAAAATTTTGAAAACAAGTAACACAAAAAGGGTAAATCTTACCAGAGTTAATTTTGGCCTGTAACCACTTTTTCATACACTCTTGGTGGACATACTGCAAACTTCCTGTGCATTTGCATGGCTCTATCAGCAAATTAGATGATGACGCAGCTGCCATCTGACAAATTCTACATAAGTCACCTTCTTCTTCATCAGAGTCCTCTAAAAGGAGGCTGAAAAGGAAGGCACAATTCCCAGAGTTATCCTAACTCATCCTGGTTGATCATTTCCAGTCATACAGAATCATAAGCTCTTATTTTGTGATTTCTACTCCCTGGGCAAACAGTAACAACAACAAAACAACAATAATGAGTAAACACCACAAAAACCCATTTCATAGAGAATAAAAATTATAGTATTTTAAAGGTAAGTAAAATGGGATAATCTATCATTTACCTCCAAATTATTTAAGTAATTTTCTCTTTGGTAGCATAGTTTAAGATCCATATTTTTCCATAGTCACTTTATAAATACCTCTAATAGATTTTAATTTTTGCAGTATCCCAAACTATTTAAAGTCTAGCACTCTTACTCCCATCTCCTCCCAGATTTAATATTTCAATGAATTAAACACATATTGGCTTGTGGTTTCTCATTTACATTTATCAGAACTATATGTTTAAACTACACGTTTAAACTGATAAACTTTGTTATAATTACAGTAAAAATTTTAAAAGTATATTCTAAAATTCTTCATAACCCTAACTCCAGCAATCGTATTAAATCATCCTGACTGCTGTAAGAGTAGGTTTTTAAAGTGTGGAAAAGTTCTATTAATCTAGTTCTCTGTATTTGACAGGTCATCAATTACTGTTTAATTTAAATGCAGAATAACAGTTATAGATACACAACTGCTAAGTGACTTTCAGAGTCAAGGCCCCAAGCATAAATATTTTGAAGAGTTGAAAACATTATGTTTATATTTAAATTTTTATAGTCTTCATTTCATAATTTCAATTATTTGTTATTCAATTTTTCCATAACCTTATTAATGCAGAACGTTTTAAAACTCTCATGTATAAGGCAAGATAAAATAGAAGAATACACACACACACACAAAAACTCTGTGGCAAAAATAGTCAACAAATGCTGCTTTTTAAACTAACCAGACACGGTGGCGATGGCTTAATTGGTTTCTCTCTGAAGATCACTAAACAAATGCTTTGCCCTCTGCTTACACTACTGTACTCAAATTCACCTAACCTTGAGGGCAGAAAATAAAATATTCACCACATTACAGAGCAGACCATAGAGGAAGCTGCTATAATAAGGAAACATTAAAGCTAACACTTCCAGGTTATAGACTTTTTTTTTTTCTTTCCTGACTTGGAATCTTGCTCTGTCATTCAGGCTGGAGTACAGTAGCATGTTTATGGCCGACCCCTGCAACTTCGACTTGCTGAGCTCAGGTGATCCTTCCGCCTCAGCCTTCCAAGTAGCTGGAACTACAGGTGTGGGCCAAAACACCAGGCTAATTTTTTTTTATTTATTGTAGAGACGAGGTCTCAGCAAGTTGCCCAGGTTGGTCTCAGGCAATCCTCTCACCTTGGCCTCCCAAGTGCTGGGATTACAGGCGTGAGCCACCGCGCCTGGCCTTTCTTTTTACAAGAAAGAAAAAAACAGCAAATTTAAAAGCAAGAAGATACTAGTCAAATGATAAAATCTGTCCTATAAAAGGAAAAACGGGAGTATGGTAGCCCTACGATCATCTCAGAAAGTATGTAAAGCTTCCTTCACCACTAGAGAAGTGGATTTCAAAGTACTTTCTTATTAAAGTACAAAAAAACCCCTATGAAGTTACCATAATGACGGTAACAACTATGCTTCCCAACAATTCTAGAGCAGTAAGCCTTTGTGGGGGGAAAAAAAATCCACCCCACTTTAGCTTTTATCATTTCTTTCTATAAGTGTATTTTATATATACTACTCTATCCTATTTTACTACTCGACTATGTAGTCTAATAATTAGACTAATATGAGTAAATAGTCAAGTGGGGACTAAAATTTCTGGTCTCTGATTCTTTCACTCTTATCAGTGATTAAGTAATGTTCAACTCTAAAAAAAATTCTTTGTATAAAAAGATTTTATAACCTGAATTTAAACTGGTATTTCTGTCAAAAAAATCCTAATATATAAAGAATATTGAGTATAAGCCTCAACTTCAAACACAAAATAAATACTAATTTGTATATTGAATTTTACTTTATTTCCAAAAAAGATATGAAATGAGACATATATATAGCAACTTGGTTAAAAATAACCTTTATTTTTTGATGCAATTCCCAACCCCACTGCCTAGCCTCAATTATTAAATCTCATCAATTAGCCGGGCTTGGTGACTCAGCCTGCAATCCTGCGCCTTTGGGAGGCTGAGGTGAGTGGATTGCCTGAGCCCGTGGGTTCAAGACCCGCCTGGGCAGCGAGACCTCATCTCTACAGTAAATCAAAAAATCAGCCGGGTGTGGTAGCGCATGTCTGTAGCTCCGGCTACTTGGAAGGCTGAGGCAGAAGGATCGCCGGAGCCCAGCAGGTCAAGGCTGCGGTGGCCGGGAGCGGCCACTGCACTCCAGTCTGGGCGACAGAGTGAGACTCCAACTCAAAAAAAAAAAAAAAAAAAATCTCATCAATTTACCAATCAGTGGGGCACTAACATCTTACTGACTATAACTGTAAAGGGAAAAAAACTGCAGATATCAATTTTAAGCTAATTAGAGATGAAGGATTCTTTCTCTAATCTGCTCTTGCTTTATAGGCTTCAAACAGGTATTCAAATTTACCTCTCCTTTATTTTCTGCAGTCTTTCTGGATCTCTTGAAGGTGCATTTTTAGTTTTATCACTGTTTCCATCAGCTAAATTCCAACCTGAAGGAATAGTATCTACGGTGATCATAACATTGTCAATCAAACTACTTCCAAGTGCCGAGGGGACTGCAAATCGGAATAAGGAACCAGGAAGAATTCCTGCTATTCGTGTATTTCTTCTGCTGTGAGCCGAATCTGATGTGGAGCCACCTGTTGTAGCACTGCTTGAGGCTGCAGATGCTTGTGGTCTGTTGGCAGCAGCTCCAAGAGGATCATTCTGTGCTTCAAGGTGAACCACTTCATTCGATTGTCTTCTAAAAATGTGAGATCTAGATGGTGTATCAGAGGTAGGTATCCTTGAGGATTCATCTCTTCCCTCTCGCCTTCTTCTAGAGAACAAAGGTGTGCATCTATTTCTAAGGGAGGAAGACAACCATGGTCCAGTATTTCTACCTTCAGATTCTTGGCTAAAATTTTCTGAATCTGACTCAGAGATATGACTTTGGCTAGGAGACGACAAACCCCATCTTCGCCTAAGAAATCGAAATCCCTGAGAAGCTTCAGATGCCCTATTATCAGGAACTTCGGAAGTTGATGGTGCATTACTACGGGACCGTGAAGTTGTCAAGATTCTTGGAGATATGTAAGTATTTTCAGAACTCAATGATCTTGCACTCAAGGAATCCTGACTAGATCTTTGTGAAAAGAAAGTAGATGACATACGAGAAGCTATACGTGACAGCAATCTCCTCCTCCTTCTGGTTATCCGCCTACCTTCATTGTCAGAAGATTCTTGAAATGGTCTTTGAGATGAAACAACCCTTTCTGAATTGCTTATGTTTGGGGTTTCATCTCTACTTGACATATAAGAAAATCCAGGCTGTGTATTGCTTTGAGTAGATCCTGATTCTCTTGAAGAAAAATTTGATCTTAAAAAATTTCTGCTGGAGATCCTAGAACTTGGTATGGTCTGATGTTCAGAAGGCAATTGGTGGTGTGTGGATGACGTATTCAACTGTAAAGTACTCAATGAATTCTCTTTTGGTCTTGCTCCCTGTGAATATGAAGAAGGAACTCTGTCTTGAACATCTATTTTTGGAAGGAAGGAAAGGTATCCAATTACATGAAATAATTCAAGCATTATTACATTTGTATTTAGTAACTACTAATCACCGCCAAAACAAAGCACTGGATTCAAACTGAATACTGCTATAACTACAGAGCTTAACTATTACTATAGAAAAAATGTAAATGTATTTCTCTTTCTATTCCTGTAAGATCAAGTACTGCTGTGTAAAGTCCACATTATGAATAAAAAGAAATGTATTTTATGTGTATGAAAAGCAAACAATGTCTGATAAAATTAAAACAGCTGAATTTATTAACCAGAAATTAATTGGTAGGGTAGAAGAATATCTAATATCTAAACTGATTCAGAATTTTAAACAGACTAATACAATGTAATACAATGTAAATGACTCTTGTAATAATTAAAAGCAAAATCATCCTAGGGAGATTGTGTTTTAGAGATTTTTCTTACTCTATGAAGTTAATATAAAGGTTATTTAGACCGCTGTAATTTTACGATAAACCATGCTAATACCTAAAAGTGTATTCAATCTTGTTTCTTTCAGGCTAACAGCAGTGGTTCTTATTCCTGGTTACTCATCAGACACCTTTGCTTTTTAATACTGACTGGGAAATATGAATCAGAATAGGGCTCTGTCGTGACTTTTAATACCTTAACTGGTGGTCTGAATCTTCAAACTGGATGAGAAACTATAGAATTACTTAGTAAAAAATACTGTCCATACAACTAGTACAAGAGCTACTGTGATAATACATGGAGTCTCATGAAAAGAATATGATGTTAGGGACTAAATCTATTTCTATCCTGTACTTTTATACCCCAAAACCTAGAAGCTACTGATACTGTCTATGAGAGCTCCTCATATAGAGCCAAGCAAATAAAAAAAGTTTTCATAGCCGGGCTCGGTGGCTCAGCCTGTAATCCCGTGCCTTTGGGAGGCTCAGGTGAGTGGATTGCCTGAGCCCGCGGGTTCGAGACCCGCCTGGGCAGGCGAGACCTCATCTCTACAAAAATCAAAAAATTAGCTGGGCGTGGTAGCGCATGCCTGTAATTCTGGCTACTCGGAAAGCTAAGGAGGAAGGATCGCCGGAGCCCAGCAGGTCAAGGCTGCGGTGGCCAGGAGTGGCCACTGCACTCCAGTCTGGGCGACAGAGTGAGGGTCCAACTCAAAAAAAAAAAAAAACAAAACAAAAGTTTTCATTTGTCAAAAATAAAGCAAAGTCTTGCACCAATAAGATTAAAATAACCTAAATTTTAAAAAACAAAATGCATTTTCTTTTTGTAAGTCAAACTCCACTTTTGTCTGCTGTATTTGCCAACTTCAATTAGTACTTTTTTCTTCAGTTACTTAGTGTGATAGTTTATAATGCTTATTTTTGAAAAGCTTAAGGCTATGTACAATGATAGAAAGTGTGGATTTTTCTGTCAATTCAATGAAAATAAAGGCAAATTCATGCTGTTCATGTTGTCATTCTAACATATACCTTAAAAACTGGTGCTTTCAACTTTATTTCAGAACTAGAAGTAGTTACTTATTAAACTACATATATCTTATAAACAAAACATATTTGAGTTTATAAGTTATACTATGTTACTTTATAATATACATTCTTAAAAGAAAAAACATAAATAAAAAAATTAAAGGCAGATAGAATTTGGATACTCATAAACTTCTTTAAATTGTTTACATTTTTTAAAAGCAAAACATAAGGTACTAGAAATAATATCATGCTATTCTGAAATCTTTGTAAGAACATTACAGCTTACTTCATTTATTCCTTTGTATTATTATTTTAGTAATACGTAAAGAGAAAATGAAACTATTAGATATACTATACTTAACAATGTAGTTTATACATACATGATGAAGTTGTGAAATCACCACTTCGGTGACTATAATCCATAAGATTACTAACAGAGGAATCTGTTCTCCTCTCCAAATCTCTCCTCTCTCTCATTAAGTCTGTTCCAAATGATCCAAGTACCACTGATGAAGACCTGGGAACTTGACTATGCCTCCAAGATGAATCTTAAAATAATTGAGAAACTTTTATTTCAGAGAAAGCTTTCAAGGTTTCTGATGATAAATCTTCAGTAATATAGAGGGAGATTGCTGTTATTTACCATAAGAATCCCCAGCTACAAAGTTGCAATCAAAAGCAAAATTCAGCAAAACAAAAGTTATTCATGAATGAAGTAAACACTTAAAATTATTTCCTACTCAATACATTCTTCTCTGTTTAACACTAAAATCTATGCCCATATGTGATGGTAATGTCACTTCCCATGATAACTGCCCATACAATATAAACAAACAAAAATGTAAATCTTGCCAAAGATGTAGACTTTCAAAAAAAGCCACTGATGTTGGAGAACTGATGAAATCAAAATTAAAGCCATCTTGAAATAGAAGATGCTGTATTGTATGATATACTTTTAGCAGAAATAATTTTTCTGCTACCACACTTGGTTTATTGTTTATTCTAAGAATGAAAGTATTGCTACAATTATCTAAATTTTATTGGGCATGATTTCATTTAAAAGTAAATTAAAAATTAAGTCTCAAATCTCTTTTATCTTCATTATTTACCTTGAAATTTTGATTCTTCCATCCTAATCCCAATGGTATTAATAATTCCTCTTCCTTAAGGGAAACAGTTCAGAGTACTTAATGTTATGCTTTCAAATAGTAAAAGAGAACAAAAATATCTCTGGTAGTGGTGCTTGTCTACAAAGGTCATTCTGTTCTTACCCATCATCACACTATTCTTAATATCCTTGAGATGGGCAATGTCTCCCTTGGTAGTCCTGCCCATTAAAATAGAAAGGAATCGTTTATACTAATTCAACTGGTAATACATAAGCATTTTTAAGAATGTTACCTCCGACTGTGTTATCACAAGTTTTATCTTCTCTTAAACACTGAGATTGGCTAATACTTCATATGAAGATAAGTTATGAGTGAAAAGGAAGATTCCTTCCCTCAACAAAATTTGTGCGATAAATATGTCTTTGAGTACAAAATACCGTAAAGCTTTATGGACAGACCATCTAAATCCCAGAGAGGTTAAATAATTTCCCAATGCCACTTATCTTGTTAGACTGTGACTTTCTAGTTCCTTGTAAAGAACTCTAAGTATTATTTTCTAACTGAAGAGTTTCCATATCTTGTTTATTTACTTATTTAAAGAGAAAGGGCTCGCTCTTTGCCCAGGTTGGAATATACAGTCATAGCTCACTGTCAACTCAAACTCCTGGGCTCAAGCAATCCTGTCACCTCAGCCTCCTAAGTAGCTAGGACTACAGGTGCACACCAAAAGGCCTGAAAAATTTTAGGGGAGGGGGAGTATAGATGGGGTTTCACTATGTCTCAGGCTGGTCTCAAACTCCTGGCTTCAAGTGATCCTCCCACCTCGGCTTCCCAAAGCCCTGAGATTATAGGCGTGAGGCATCACACACAGCTCAATTTCTGTATTTTCTGAAAATAAATAGGATATACCACAATGTTTATTATTTACAAAAAACATGATTAGGAAGTACTTTAAATATATATCAGTAAGATTTGGCTTTTCTGGTAACAATTAAAAAAAATAAATTTATTTTTATTTTTTAGAGTCAGGATCTTGCTCTGTCACCCAGATGGAGTACAGTGGTGTGATCATGACTCACTATAACCCCAACTCCAGGGCTCAAGTGATCTTCCTGTCTCAGCCTCCCAAGTAGCTTGGAGAACAGACAGGCATGTGTTACAATGCCCAGCTTAAAAATTTATCTTCAGTATGGCAACTCCTTTGAGTCCCCTCCCACTGTGGGAGCTTTTCTGTCCTCTCAATAAACGCTGCTTACTAAAAAAATAAAATCAAATTTATCTTCCATAATAACCAGCAGAAATCATGTCACTTTTTCCAGTTTGATTGCCATATAATATTAGCTATTCTCATTCATTAAAATCTGCTAGCATTCTTTTATATAGAACACTTGCCCAAAATTTAAAACAAAAATGCAAAAGAGTTAACATCAGTTCTGGCACTAACTTAAGGTTAAAATTTTGGAAATGCCACTGCATTTCTGACCCACTGTCTTAAAACACACTCTACTTGCTTCATCCCAAACTTAAGAACTATGTTACATTTTGGAAAAAGGCCCTTAATCTGAAATCTACATAAAGTGACTCTTACATAAACTTTTTTTTTTTTTTTTTTTTTTTTTTTACCTGATACTGCATTTAAACCACTTCCAACATTTCTCCCAGCTGAGGTAGTACAGTTTGTACAGGAAAGTTTAGGTCTTTTTGAATCATGATCTCGTTGCTGGTTTTGCGATCTTGAGCGTGCTCCCTGAGTTATTTCAGATTCACTATACCATGTGGATTGAAATGGTGATGCAGAGGCTGATGTAGACTGTTAAAAAAAAATTATTTAAACAATAAAATGCTTGCATTCAATATTAAATTTAACCTACAATGCTCTACTTCTAATAAAGTCCCAAGAACCATTTATTCCTCACAAGTAGGAATTTTTCTACCATGTAGTTCTTTTTTAGTCTTTCTTTGCTCTCTTTACCTACTTGCTCCTTTGCTATATACTATAATTATATGTTGCTAGGGTATCAATCTGATTGGATTAATTTCTCTTAATAATTATATGAATACTTGGTTATAAAACAATGAAGAGCAAGAACCTTATAATCATTTTTCCTGGTTTAATATTTCAACCTTCTGAGCAACTTGTATCCTCTCAGAAGTGGACAGAACACCAGGATTTAAACTGACTGTAAACATCCTGCTATGAAAATTAGATTTCTCAAGTAAAAAAACAAATTTATCCCTATTTTGATGCTTGGTCTCAGGAACAGTCATAAAACACCAAGAGTCTGCTAAAAAACAAAACCAAATAAATTAACACCTAAAATGTCTTCATTTTAAATCAAGAAACTACTAAAACAAATACATATTTTATAAATTTAATTCATGGTTGTCTCTTTTAACATATATGTTCACAAAATAAAATTGAATGCAAACGTCACTCATACTTACTATTTTATTTTAATTCTTTGGTAAGTTTACTCAATATAATGCATAAAAAATTTGTTTCCTTAAAAATATAGGTTTAAATAACATTTCAACCTTAATTATTGAAAGTATATTATTACTTTTACAAATATTTTTACTTCCTTGCAAAGCTCTCAACTGGACACATGTAAACTAAGAAAAAACACTGGCATATAATTTCTAAACTGCTCAGAAATAGTAAGGACTCATAAATCACAGTAATTTTTTAGGAAATAAAAAAAATTTCAAACATGTTAACATAAGTATATGGCAAACAGTTTATTAAGAAACATCGAAACACACCAAGTGTCATTTTGCTTAACAAGTGTTAAAAATGAAATGTATCGTGAACCATAATTTCAGTCTTTATTAATCTAAAAAGTATATGAAAAACAAGATAAAACATAATGTGCTCCATCAAATCTCTAGAGTCTAGATAACAGACAAGTAGATAAATAAATATAAATAAGTACTATAATAGTAGGTACACTGGGCCAGGCACAGTGGCTAATGCCTGTAATCTTAGCACTTTGAGATGCTAAAGCAGGAGGATTGCCTGAGCCACCTTAGGAGAGAATACATTCAATCTATCACTTTACAGAAAGACCCTTAGAGGCACATGGAAGATGAAATGGACAGAAAGTAAAACTAGCTAGGAGGTCAAGACCACTCTGGGCAACATAGCAAGACACAATATCTAAAAAAAAAAAAAAAAAAAATTAACTGGGTATGGTGGCACACGCCTGTAGTCCCAGTTATTCAGGCGGCTTAGGAGGGAGGGCTGCCTGAGCCCAGGAGCTTGACACCGCAGTGAGCCATGATCATGCCACTGTACTCCAGCCTGGGCAACAAAGTAATATGAGACCTTGACTATAAAAAAAAAAAAAAAAAAAAGCCACACTGTAAGTTTTGCATAACTATGCCTGAAAGAGGCAGGAGAAGATTCAGAGACGATAAAATCTGAAGTTACACTCCATAACTTATCATCATTTTTCTCATTTTTTAAAATGCAAACTTGTGTAGAGAAGTATATTGTTCTCATTTTGCATGGACTGGGAAAACTGTTACTAAAGAGCACTTCTGCAAACATGATTTTGGGAACCACCTTAGAAGAGAATACATGTGCTGAGTGCAGTTGACTCCTGCCTGTAATCCCAGCGCTTTGGAAGGCAGAGGCAAGAGGATGGTCTACATCCAGGGATTTGAGATCAGCTTGGGCAACTTGGTGAGATCTCATCTCTTTAAAAAAAAAAAAAATTAGTCGGATGTGGTGGCGCGTACCTGAGGTTCCAATTACTTGGAAGGCTGAGGTGGAAGGATCACCTGAGCCCGGCCGGTCAAGGCTGCAGTGGCCATGAGTATGCCACTGCACTCTAGCCTGGATGACAGTATGAGATTCCTACTCAGAAAAAAAATAAATAAATAAAAGAAAGAGAATACATCTGATCTATTACTTTATAGAAAGATCCTTAAAGGCATGTGAAAGATGAAATGGACAGAGAATAAAACCTAACTAGGAAGCCATCAGAATAGTAAGGAGTCTCTGTGAAATAAATGAAAGTAGAGAGAAACTATAAAAGATATCATCAGATTTACAGACAACATGAGAAATGAAGTCGTCTAAAATCACAACTTTCTGGTACTAGCTACAGGTGAGATACACAACTGTGCCATTCATTAAAAATACTGACTACAGAGGAGCAGACTTAGATAATAAAATGGTAACTTTTGTTTTAGATTCTTGAATTGTAAAGTACCCCAAAGCAATTTGCTTTTCTCCTCTTTTTTTTTTTTTTTTTTCAGTCTTCTGTCGCCCAGGCTGCTGTAATACAGTGGCACAATCATGGCTCACTGCAGTCTCTACTTCCTGGGTTCAGGTGATCCTTTCGTCTCAGACTCTTGAATGGCTGGGACTATAGGCACACTCCACCACATCCAGCTAACTTTTTTCCAGAGACAAGGTCTCGCTATGTTGCCCAGGTTGGTCTCAAATTCCTGGACTTAAGCAATCCTCTTGCCATGGCCTCCAAAAGTGCTGGGATTACAGGCACAAGCCACTGTGCCAGGCGTCTCTTAACAAAGCATTAGATGAATTTAACAAATATATTATCTTACCTCTCCTGATGTCTAGAACTTTTGAGGCTAAATGAAATCTGGTTAAGAAGCCTGTCTTCAAAGTAATACTGCTGCATTAAGCAAGTAGTTTTTGGGTTTCTACTTTTTGGCTATTAAGTATAATGTCACTATGAATATTCGCATATAAGTCTGTGTGGACATACATTTTCAATTCTCTTAGGTGTATCTGTTGGCTCATATAGTAACAATGCTTAATTTTTTAAGAAATTGCTAGATCATTTTTCAAAGTAGCTATACCACTTTATAATACATCAATTCCAATTTCTTCACTCCTCAACAACACTTGATATTGTCCATCTTTTTTATTTTACCTATTCTAGTGAGTGTTAAGTATCTCACTGCAGTTCTGATTTGCATTTCTCTAATGAATGATATCTTTTCATGTGCTTATAAGCCATTAGTGTATCTTTTAAAAAGATGTCTCATAATAGTCATTCTAAATTGAGTTATCTGTTTATTGTTGAGATGTAGGAGTTCTTCATATGTTCTGGACACAAGTCCCTGTAAAATATATGCTTTGCAAATATTTTCTCTCATTCTGTTGGTTGTCTTTTTACTCTCCTGGTGTCCATTGATGCACACAAGCTGTAATTTTGACAAATCCAATTAATCTCTTTTTGTGTTTGCTGCCTTTAGACTATATGAATCATATGAAGTAGATGAAAAATAATTAAATTTACACTTGCATTTTGTGGAATTCTCTATCCTTTTCATTATATTTCCAGTCTCTGGGTAGTAGAATATATCACAGACTTGGCTACTAGAGTAAATACTTTTCATCAGTTACTGCCAATTCAAAAGGTTATCTATGATATGAAAGGTGAATTGTATGGCATATCAATTATAACTTAAGAAAGATATAACTAAAAAGAGGGTGTGGAAGACTATCTAGGCCAACCAAAGTTGTAGAAATACTAAATTGTACACCCAAGAAATCAACAGTATGATCTGATGGCTATAGATTTTTATGCACAATGAAGGAAAGAGAATTTTCCAAACTTTCTATAACTAGCAGGCATCCAATTTTCATTATTTTTACCTGTATGGTACTCATTCACACTATACCTTTCCAACAAGAGGTTTACTGAAAGAATAGTCAATGAAATAATTTACTATTACTATTATATAAATCAACATTTGCTTTCAGAAAATTAGTATTTCTAAGGTTTTAAAATATATTATCAATACAAATGCCCTTAAAACAATGCAAAAGAACCAAAATGAGAAAGTACTGGCAAACCATGTTATCTAATAAGGAACTTATATCTAGAATATGTAAAGAACACTTACAACTCAGTAATAAGACAATTCTATTTAAAAATGAGCAGACATTTCCCTAAAAATGCACAAATAGCCAGTCAGCATATGAAAAAACGCTCAGTATCACTAGTCATAAAGGTAATCCAAATCAAAACCACTGAGCTACTGCTTCACACACATTAGGATGACTAAAATCAATAAATAAGTGTTTGTGAGAATGTGGAGAGATTGGAAACCTCGTGCATAATGCTAGTGGAAATGTAAAATGGTCCAGCCAATATGGAAGACTAGCAGTTCCTCAAATGATTGAGCACAGAGTTTACACATGACTTAACAATTCTATTCCTAGTACATACATACCAATGTAATCATACACCCACGTCCATACAGAAACTTGCACATGAGTATCTACAGCAGCATTATTCACAAAAGTCAAAAGATATAAACAACCCAAATATATGTCAGCAGATGAATGGATAAACAAAATACGGCAATCCACACAATGGAATATTATTCAGCCATAAAAAAGGATAAAGTAATGATATACTCTACAGCACAGATGAGACCAAAAACATGCTGAGAGAAGCTAGTCACAAAAGACTACATGGTACATGTTTCCACTCATGTATGTGAAAGTCCAAAAATAGAAACATCTACAGATATAGAGTAAATTAATGGTTGTTTAGCACTGGTAGGAGTGGGGGAAGGGGGACTAGAGGACTAGTATAGTGATAGTTATGATTGTTATGCCCCTCTGAATAAACTGAAGATCATTGAGCTTTAAATAAGTGAATTGTATGGCATCTGAAGTTATAACAATAAAGCTAATTCTTAAAGAAGAACCATAAAGATAATTGCAAACACAACCAATGTCATCTAATGGCAAAAGCTTAATCACAATAATGTAATGGTCAGGCAGTGGCTCATGCCTGTAATCCCAGCACTTCTGGAGGC